GATGATGCCCAGGGTCCTGATGATGGATTCGGTAGGTGGCCATAGGAACTCCTTAACGAAACGGCAGAAACTCTTTGAGTTTGTCTTTTCAGGATTTTTAACAATCATAGTCCCTCGTGCTTGTCGTGCATGAGTACGACATGCTTCATGAAATCATGATGCTGCCCTGTCAACACTTGAAACCAATTTTAGTGGGGCTGTCCAATGTCCATGCTTATTGTGTAATTTAATAATGTATAAGAAGACGTAGTAATGCCTGATTGAATCAACGCCAGTTCTTAATGCTGTTACGATTAATGTTGGTAGAGCGAACTAAATACTTCGTATAAATAACGGTACTATTTACAGTTTAAATGTACTGAAGTAGATAAAGAAACCAAACATACTATCGTAAAAAGGATAAGCAAATAATAAACTATTTCCATGAAATCATGAATATATTTAAAGAGGTCTGTCCTCGACACGGCGGTAAATGCGGCGTGTACGTGAATATAAATAAGAAGCACTTTGTGCGCTGAACAGAAAAATCTCTAAGATATATTTTCTCCAAATGGAAAACATATTACAATAACAACTGTTGTCCATTGTTACACAATAAAAAGGATTTATACACGAAGAGTTATTTTATTAAAATGTGAAAAAGTAAAGTCTTAACTTAGCTCGTTGTTCGTGCCAAAAATGTTGTCTTATGCTTGGCAGCTTTAAAATGTAGGTATCATCAATTATTCAGGTTCTTTAATTTTTATACGTAGTGGAATCTTACTTAACATGGATAATTTTGACGCAAAAAAGTTTGAAATTAAAAAAATTTAACCCTCGATAAATATAAAATAAGTAAAATATGTATTATGTATACTATGTTAATAAGTACATATATGGATTTTGTCCAGATCAGACAATTATTAGGACAAATACCTGCCTTGTTATGTTAACAAATAAACATATACGAATATTTTAAAGATAACAAACACAAACTTAGGCTGGGTTGCACTTACTTTGACTTTAACAAACGTCAAAAATCTGCCAAACTCCATACAAAACACCGGTTATCGTTATAGTTACGGTCAAAGTTAGGTGGTGCAACTCAGCCTTTATAAAACCGTGTCCGCGTGGCAAACAGGCGAGATCAGACTTACGACTAAAGATAGTTACATAATAATTCATAAAGTCGTTTCATTTAGAACTTTAACATCAGAATAATAAAGTGGATACTGCGCCTTCCATTATGTCGTCGTCATAATCATTGTTCATTAAATTGAACAGGGAATTCCTCTAGATTACTCTAGAACAACTAGTAGCAACCTCTTGCAATATAGGTCACCAGGTGCCGAGGTGTGGTGTGCTCTATATTTATATAAGTACACATAAAATGTTCTCTCAACACACTGCGGCGGTGGGTTTTAATATTTAAACCTAGTTTAAAAGTTAGCCACTTCGTGTTTCGAAGTATATTTCATTAAGCCAAGGTGCACTCCCAAGACATTTTGTAATCCTGGCTTAATGTAGATCATCTATAATAATACTTTAAAAAAGAACGTTATGATTAACATTGGCTTATGAACTTTTTTCTAAAAGTATTTTCTTAATTAATAGAAATAAAGTTAGAATTAATTAGAAATTCCTCTGAACCCAAGGTTTCACTTCGATCACCGTAGGGCGGACAGGTATGTGGTATCTCTTGCATATCACCAACCAACATGCACGGTTGGGTTGTTGAAATTATGTAGGTGCAAAATATTGCATTGTATAAGTTATTTTACATGCATACTTAGTTAAAAATTATGTAAAAGACGAACTCCACCTTAACACTAGTTGATAAGTAAACTGAGACCAGCTCTGTTGGATTCATAATAATAATTGACATTATTTTATACTATCTTCTTTACATAAATTCTGATTGTGAATTTGTTTGTGGTCCTATGAGAATAAATGAAAAAAAAAATGAACTGAGTAGGTAGTAATAATTATGGAGGTGATTGTGCTTACTAATATTACACTCGGCAATATAAAATAATTTAACGCAGGAGCATTAATTCAGATAAAAATAACGGTTTTAAATTAATTGGTATGCAAAGCCACAATTCCCTAGCGCGGTTTTGGTTTAACGTATTATGCTATTTTACATTGGAGACTGTTTTCGTTGTCACACTGCTGATTTGGTTCATTACGGTATTTCAATTTTTTAAAAATAATTCGTTTCTACACAAATGAAAATAATGCCTACAAGAAGTCAAAGCTAAAGCTGAATTCAACCAATTTGAAGTGATAATGCAGATTATAAAATTGATATCATAACTATAACGTGTGAATTCTAAAATTGGTTGGTTCGGATTCGAGAGTGAGAAGTTTGATTTTAAAACAATGAAATAAAGGTGTGGATGTGGTACTCCATCAATTGCTACCCCCGAGTGAGGAGCCACAGATGGATTGAGTCAAAACTGCTATCGCTTTTTGAAGTAGACTCGGCTCAACCCACTCACGAACTTGATTTGATTACACTTTAGGACGGCACAGTGATGCTCGACAGACGTCGAAACTTTATGAACGGCAATAAAGTTACCTCGGTGCTGGTAACTGCTCCCGGAAGCGATCGCGGCGTGAGCCAAGTGACGCGACGCCTATGGCGCGTACTCGAGACGGAGCTTTTACAGCGTAGAAATATTTATGGTACTATTAGAATAGAGATGAGAATGTTATGCGTCAAATTTTTTTTTATTATTTCAAATAAATAGTAGATATTTTTTGTATTGCCTCCTTCACCATTTCAAAGTTAAATTCCATGTCGATGGCTCCTACGTATAAAGGCGAAACTGCCGCTTACGCCTTTTTCCAATTATTTAAGCAATGATTTCACCTTGCTCTAATCTACAACATCAGTAAAAAAAATGTTTTTTCCATTAGATACAAAATAAAAATTTTAGGCAAATAGGCGTATGTGCAAAACTACGCCACGTATAAAGCCCAATCATACGATTCGCCCATCTATACGAGCAGTTGCTTACTTACATAAATATATATTTTTTATAATCTTACTTATAAAGCCATGAAAACATTTAGCAAATGGTTTTATTTATAAATTATGACACATTATGTTAAAAGACCTAACTAAATCTCGAGCACAGTATATTTGCGTTAAAACGTAATAACGATACATTAAACAACTTTTTCTAACTGATTAATTATTGATATAGTACACGATAACAATAAAATAGTTACATGCATAAATAAAGAGAGTAATCGCTTAAAATATTATACTTACGTTGTCATTTAAGTCTCTTTACGTTGAAAAATATACATGAAATTATAGAAATATGACGACGTAAAAGGGCAATGTGTAGTCTCAAAATGTATAAAAAAATATAAAAATTGATAAAAGCAGTAGCAAAAGCATTACATGTTAAGGCTAAATGTGAAATTTCATTAAATTCGTTTTAGTAGGTCAGAAGATATGACCCAAAAATATGGTTTTGGCTACTTAAATGACTCTCCTGTAAAATCTATTTTTTTCACTTACGCCAGTATACGTAGGAGGCATCGATGTGCCCTTTTTTATTTTGTTTATTTTTTCATCGATTATGAGTGCCAAATATTGTTTTAATTCCGAAGCATCTATTTACGTTTTCGTTTGCTATTTACTGTATGCTAAAGTGTCTCGATAAATGTAGTGAATGAGTTGAAGTTGGGTGTTGCTAAATTAACAGAACTGTGGAGGCGAATACCGCCGCCAGGACTGCAATTGAACTACGTCAAACTGTGCCACGATAATAAATGCTAACGCTAACTCAATCCAATCGCCCGGCACTTTCAAGTGATGCAAAAGTGTAATCAGGAAAACTTGCATCCTTTAAACTAATTCAATTTAGTGTTCCCTTTTTTATGCGTTTTAAATCAATACAGTTACGAGTACTTAACAACTTATGTGTTCTTCTTGAAATCAACAGCAACGCGGCACTCGTGACTGACACTGCGATAGGGCCTTGTTGAAACGTACGTTTGTCATTTCGAACGTTTACACTTTACTGTTAAATTTATTTACTGTGCTTTCAGCTACACTGTTTTCTATAAATCCTCAGCCTCCAAGGGGAGAAACGGTATGAGCTTCAAAAGAGGTCTAAACATGTTGACGAGAGCATCATAATGGCGAAAAGTAATTCACTCGTCTACTAAACACGTGAAAACTAGCAAGCGAAGCAAGTAAGTAACATAGTTTGTATAAATGTGAGACTTCAGTTTTAAAATCAATTTTGAGACCTTGGCATGGAAAGAGACTAAAGTTTGTAAGAGAATCCGTATGTGTATTAGTTAAACAGGGTTACTCGTGGAAATCGTTTTCGTTATTTAAATAGGTTAATAACGACGACGGTACAGAGCTAGCGACGCTTTTGGGGTAGCTTCATATAGGGATATGATATGAATTCTGTTTTCGTGATTTAATGGTTTCAGGCATAAACATAATATGAATGTTTGTTCAAGTAAAAAAGGTCTGATAAAACATATGATAAGAAAATTCTGTCAATTTGAATCTTTATTTAGTTATTTACAATTAATTTACAATGAGTAAAAAATTCACTTATGCTATCTTAAGTATCCCCAAATGCGTCAATGAGGTTAGCGGTGCCCAGAAGGCTGGCAGTGTTTCCGCGTTGAATTGCAAGGCTTAGACGCTGGCCAAGGTAGAAATATAATTATGTTAGATTATCTTTTCTTCAAATTCTTCGACCGTGAAATTCTTATTTCTTATTGGCAAACGACATCCAAATACAATGTCACGTCACGACCGTGGATACTCAGGTTTTTTTAAAACATAACTCTGACAGCATTTCCATCTCATCCGGTGAGGCGCGGTCGCATCCTTTTTGGAGAGGGTCACCAAAAATAGAATATGTCGTGTAAATTACATAGACTTTCTTACGATATACAATTTATTTACACATTTTAAAGCAAATAGAAGTTTTCAATTTGTTATTGGAAAATCGGGTGATAGTATTTGAGAGGATCTATCTCATTTGATCCATTCACTAGATCCATTATGGATCTATTGAGATTTTATTTTCCAACTAGATCCACCGTGGATCTAATGAGAAGTTATTTATCATTTGATACACCATTACTCCTAGTCGCTACAAATGGATCTGAGGAGAACATTTTTCTCATTAGATACAACTTTTTGTTATGGATCTAGTGAGAAGATGCTAATATTAATAATTAAACTACATAGTAAAATAGCTCTACACATAAGTACGAGTATTTGTAAAAAATCTTAACTTTTTCAATAATGTCACGCACTTAGGTTCTGGGAGTTCAAAAGGTTTATAGTAAATTATTATTTCATAAGATATCATGATAAAAATGAAATATAAATGATGTTTATATTGCAATACTCATATGAAAAAACAAAACAGAATACAAGCTAACAAAAATTCTCATTATTCTTCTTCAAGTTAGCCATTATAGGATAATTATCGACTACTTAAATAAAATGTCTAACGCAAATGAAAATATTTTTATTAGATAACACTTACAAATACAATTAAATATAAATTAATACAAATTAACGAAGTTTTTCTAGGAAGTGCCCAACACTTATCTCGCCACTCATCAATTGCTTCTGGGCAGTTAAAATGCGGTCGTCGTAGACTCTAACATTGTTGCGGCGTTTACGAGGGCGGCACTGAAAATTTCGGGAATCAAGGAAGTGAAACAAAATTACTATTTAAAAATGTATTTATTGCTTTTTAAAGTATTCTCCGCGAAATTAGACACATTTTTCCATACACGAAACCAATCATTGAAGCAACCATTCCATTCGGAAGTTTGGGTCTCCAAAATGGCCGTTTTGTAGGCGTCCACAGCTTCTTCAGGTGATGAAAATCTCTGACCTATTGATTTGTAAGATTGACAGATTTGTAAGAACTATTTATTAGTCTAAACAAATAAAGAAATTTTGACTTTGACTTTGACTTTGACCACGCAATTTATTCTTTATTTTAGGGAAAGTATAGAAATCATTAGGGCTTAGGTCGGGGCTGTACGGCGGATGGTCCAATAATTCTATGGTTTCTTGCTCTAAAAACTCTTTTGTTCTGTGCGCGGTGTGAGAACTCGCATTGTCGTGATGGAGGATGATGCGGCGGTTGCAGTTCTCTTTACGGAGTTCAGAAACGACCTGTGGCAAACAAATGCTAGCATACCATTCTGCATTAACCGTTCTTTGTCCCCCAAGAGGAATAGTCGCAACATGGCCGGTTTTGGAGACAAACGTGGCCACCATTTTTTTTGCAACACTCCGTGAACGAACAATTTTTGTTGGCTTTAACTCATTTTCGAACACCCAAACTCGTGACTGGTTTTTTGTTTCGGGTTCGTACGCGTATATCCAGGATTCGTCACCTGATACGATGTTGTATACAGCATTTGAGGATCCTGCATGTAATCTCCCGAGAGTTCTGACGCACCAAGTAACGCGAGCCGCTTTTTGCTCTTCACAGAGCGAATGCGGTATCCATCGGGAAAACAACTTTTTTACACCTAATTGTTCATGCAAGATTATTTGTATTTGACTCATGCCAATGTCTAAAGTTGCCTGAATTTCGCGGTATATCACATGTCGATCTTCTTCAATCAGCTTACGCACAGCATCAACGTTTTCTTAGGTGACTGCAGTTTTTGGACGACCTTGACGGGGATCATCACTGAGCTTGACACGTCCACGTTGAAATTCAGGAAACCAGCGATAAATTGTGGTTTTGGATGGGGCTTCATTACCAAATGCAGAAATCATCCGGTCAACACACTGTTTTTGTGTTAAACCACTTCAAAAGTCATAATAAATCATCGCTCTTGAATTTTCTCGAGTCAATTCCATTTTCTCAACGACTAAACAAGTTTGACAAGACCTTGTGATACGACCGAGAATCTTTTTTTAAATAAATAAATGGTATACGATTTTTAAAACCCTGGAGTTTGCAATTAAATCGATTTTAATATGACAGGAACAGTGGAAATATTCCATTCCCGATACTTTTAGTGCAGCCCTCGTAGGGCCCGTACTTTTTTTGAACTTCTGCAAACGATGACTGCGAAATGAAGTTATGTTCGCTTCTTGAAATAACAGATGCAGAACCTGCAATAGCCGACCTTCATTTCTGTTAATATTTACATTAAGGCTATGATGCCAGCCCTCGCAGCTATTATTAGTACGGTGTTTCTCTCCATACATACACCATGTTCTGCAAAAATCACCCTTCATCCAGTACGCTTCAAAATATTCGGAGAACTTAGTCAATGTTGAATCACCAGATCCCATTTCATTGCGAATATAGGCCCAACCATCTGGTATGAAATAGTGTGGCAAAAACGCGAGTTTGCTACATAAGGATATTATCCTGATATTAGGTTTTGTGCGTTTCAAGCCGATTGCTTTAGCTTTTCTAAATAGGGCATTTGAGAAGTGGTAATGACAACCCATTATTTTTACATTGAATTCAGATAAAGCATCTAACGTGGCTCTCTCAAAATCGATTGTTACTTTTTTAGGTTGCCAACCTGGCACCTGTGCCTTGATTAAACTGAATAACGCCGTATACGCCTCTTTCGTCTGGTGCGTCATAAACGCAAAAACCAAAGTTACTATATTGGTATTATCTGAATCACTACCTATGTCGGCATGGATTGTATAAATCTGACGGAAAGGCGAAGGGCATGATTTGAATGTTCCGTCCATGAACATGTGTTCTGACTGGGTTAAACATTCTCGAGCATCTTTAGAACTAAACATAATTATTCTCATGCCATTACAACTGTAATCCGCCAAAAGAAAACTCTCGTATTGAAGAGGTACCTCCACTTCTTCGGGATCGGTATGGCAAATTTTATCCACACCGGCAATTTTGTTCCGTTGGCGATAAATTGACGATTTTTTTTCATTGAACGTTGGGATAGGTTTATTTGCCACCAAGTCCCAACCTTTTTCCGTTATGGTAGCCAAAGCCCTTTTGAAAACACGAGGAGCCGGTTCTCTGCCCAAAGAAGCTTCGGCACAATGCTCGTTAACGGTGGCTTCTATCAAATTTTGCGCTTCATCAGAAATGCAGCCTCCGGAATGAGGTTTCCTTATTAATATATCCGATTTGTCCTAAAACAATAACAATGACACTTGTAGAAGCACTATTAACTTTAAAATACCGTTGAATAACAAATTTTTGTTGGTACTTAAATCGTAAGATGTGTTAGAAAAACATATTTTATAAATAACTATAACTGTTCCCGCGACTTCCTACAGTGAAAATACTTAGTTTGAATAACATTTCTCGTTTTTTGAAACATTTTAGCCCATATTGGCTGTAGGGTGATGTTATATAGCCTAAAGCCTTCTTCGATAAATTAGCTATTCAACACGAAAACAATTTTTCAAATCGAACTACATAGTAGTTCTTGGGATTAGCGCGCTCAAGCAAATAAGCAAACAAACTTTTCAGCGTTATAATATGTATTATTATTATTTTACTAAGGAACTCAATATTAGTGTATATAGTGTACTAATAAAGTATAGTAATCCTTACCGCAGATAGCGTCACTGATCCTTTGCAATTCAATTTGGTTTTTTTGTAGTTATCACACCGCCAAAGACTGGTACCTTTTTTGTAGTTGGTGTGTGTATGGAACCTGTATCCATCAAATAATAAAACTGTCCCACGTCCACTTTTTATAAATTTTATTGATTCGTTCATTGTGTAGAATTTAACAACAAATTAAACTTTCAGTAATAACAATTTAATATTTTTTTAATTTCTGGCGCGGTAAATTTATTTTCTTCATTTCAAACTGCCACAGATTAAAAACCAATAACAGAAAAGAGTTATCATACCTACAAGAACTGATTAAATATTATTTATTTGTTTAAAATATTATACAGATAATAATAAATTGAAATTAATTATAAATATTGATTTACAAATACTGCAACTTTAATAATAAACTAATAGTTTTACAACAATTTGTTTAACTATATTATACAGAGTGGAATTTTGTAATGCCACCTGGAGGGAAAGTACTCTTAATACTGTAGAAAAAAATACTGAAAAAAAACATTCCTTTATTTTTTAAAAGAAAGAGAACTGCATTCAAAGATTTCCGATTTTTTTTCGAAAATTCTCTACCATAGGAACCATACAATTTCCTGTACATAATTAAAATAATTTAATATTTCATGGTTTTTCCTTTCATTTGTTTTATCAAGTTTGTTAGAGAGATTTCACCCTTATACTTAACCCTAACGATCGATGCAATAAAATTACAGGGTGTAATTTTTAACAGATTTAAGTTGGTTCGAATCCCGGGTGTGGCAAGGTAATTTTTGGAAATCTTTGAATGCAGTTTTATTTCTTTAAAAAAATAAATGAATGTTTTTTTTTGAGAAAAAATTCTATCTACAATGTTAAGAGTACTTTCCCTCCAGGTGGCATTACAAAATTCCACCCTGTATACTCTTAACAATATAACTTTCTCGTAATTATTTTAAATCATTGTATTTTTCGAGAAAAAATATGTATAAAGTGTAATTCGCGGGCGCCTATCGTAAGTTTTAAGGGCTAAGGTTTCTTTTCGCGCGCATAAATTGTCTATTAAGCTTAGCAGTTAACTGTCTATGCGTATTTTTCTATGAACGAACTAAATTATCCACGTAAGTCAATTTTGAAACCGCACGCAGCGGATAAAAATAATAAAATATGAAAAAAATGTTGTTTTTGTTTATGTAAATCGATTATAATTATTTATCTTAGGTACTGATCCTGAGTCGCTCCTAAAAATTTGGCAACACTTTGCAATTTCACCCTGTATAAATAATGGCCAGTTCAACCTTTGTTATCTAAAAAGTATTTATCTAAAGTAGTCTATGAGAAATGTTGATCTAGCAAAAAAACTGGATCTAGTGGTGCCAAAATTTTTGTAGATCCATGGATCTGTGTAAATGTATCCAGTGGGATAAATAATGTCACTAAATCCATTGTGATGGATAACAATGGAACCAGTGGGAAAAAAATCTATGTAGATCCATACTTGAGCATATCAATAGATCTAATGAGAAAAATATTCTCCTTAGATCCATTTGTAGCGACTAGGAGTAATGGTGTATCAAATGATAAATAACTTCTCATTAGATCCACGGTGGATCTAGTTGGAAAATAAAATCTCACTAGATCCATTATGGATCAAATGAGATAGATCGATTTGAGAGGTCTGGGGCTATCTCAAGATGGATATTTTGAAGAGCTGAACCTATCAGCCTCTTTTCTAATATGTTTGCTCTCTGATGTCGCACCGCTTATAAGAAGAGTTGCCAGAATGTTCAGTAATCTTTATATTTGGGTAGGATAATCGTTGTAAACTCCAATTTTAGAAATCGCAAACTTGGGAAATTTGGTGACAGTATTTTCTGTGAGCTTCCGTTTTCACTTTTAAATATACAGGATGGCCAGAAAAGTAAAGACTAAAAGAAAAATTTAGTTACTCTGTAGTTGAAATTCCCTTCCACCTTCATCCTAATTATCAGTTTCCACCAGGTGTGATGAAGGGCAAGAGCTTTCTCGTTGAGAATGAAAACATGTTCTGTCCAGTTATTGTCTCTAAATCTGTTCTGCGTAATGTAAATTTAGAGGATTCCCAATATTAATTCACTCTAAGAAAGTCAAAAACATGTAACGGAATCTCCGACTTACCACTTTAGTGGAGCGATTACAGGAAATAGTGGCTCATTGAGTACATGTTTTTTTGTATTATTATGAATGTTCAGGAAACTGCGCAGTTTTTAAAATGGTTTCGGACCTATGGAAGTTCTTTTTTTTTTATTTAAACTTTTAAGTTGAAAATTTGATAGTGTTCTGTTAGCATAATTTTAATGTTTCTAACATAACATTTGTATCTTGAATCAAAGATAGGAAGGTGATTTTTTTTTTCAAACATCTGCAATTAATAAATAACAAGTCTGTCAAAAAAATTAATCTGAGGAAAGTCAACCCAAAAAAAGATAAAAAAATAGGTCATAACATTTTAAAATATCACACAATTAACTCTATCTCCTAAACTAAGCAAAATCGTAGAACATAGATGGGGGTGATTCAGATACATCTCGATGTAAGGAATCTAAATTTTCTTTTTAGACGTGAGTGTCGTGACGAGAGTGGCAGGAGGAATACTCAAGAAATGGGAAACATTTTGATATTTTTTTCACATTAAGGAGATCTTCTTCTGTATATTTAGATTTTGGAATAAAAATGCCTAATCCGTACACATTAATTGTATCCGCAGAAAGTCGATACTGTGGGTCAGTCATTTATTTATCAGAGGAATATAAACGGTGAATAGTCCTCCGAAAATACTTATTCAACGTCATTTCCTTTCCATAATTATTATGGAGAGTCTGCCGATTTCACGCGTACGATTTCGGTTGGGGTCATGTGTGATCTTTCCCCTCGGACCGTGCTTCGATTTGAGGCTATCATTAATCTACGACTATATCATCGACATCTAGGTACTTGTTTTACAGTCTGCTCACATAAATAAATCATAATTCATTGAATCGTTACATAGAAACAGTTACTTTACACAGTAGTTATTCACTAATGATTTCTAAAAGAGAATAATATTCCTGCAACAACGTAGTCTCAATTAAACAAACGCCACTACTCTTCAAAGCAAACAAACTAACATCACCAACACAACAGTGAGACTGGAGAAAGTTCGTGAAAATATCAAACAAACAACATTTATGCTCGTAACTGCAGTGAATTTGTACCTTTAATGTGGACTGCGAATTTGAGCTTTTAACGTGCCCTCAAAATGCATACCGGGGTAAAAGTTTGAGCAATGGTTTGCATTTAATTTTTGATAAATTTCACCTGTATTTTCAGATCATTGCATGGTTTTTGAATGATGGCAAATTCATTCACATATTTCGGGGAAAGTTTATCAATTAATTATTTGAATCTGTCACCTTAATTAGGTCAGAATTAGAACGTAATTTCATTATTTTTACTGAAATAATAACCGCAATAAGAAGCTTTTTATTGCATCAATCAAGATCTGTTAAACATGGTTTGACACGTCCTTTAACAAATTCTCAGTTGGCCCTTGTTGTCGAATCCTCCATTGAAGAACTTTTATAAACCACACATCGAAATATGTGCCATGCAGCTTGTTATTGTGCCCTTCGTTATCAATTAGACACGTCCGTCAATCACGGTGAAAATATAGTCCCCATTCAAAAAGTTTCCTAAACTGAACATCGACATTCGGCATAATATGCTGTGACCTGCTACTGCAGCTTTATTGCGCCAGGGGTATACCATTGGAATAAGCCCTACTGTGGATTCCCTTCCATCCATTAGACACGTTTCAACTCAGCATACATGAGTGAAGCGAATTAACACTAGGCAATTTGATAATATAATAGGTATGTAACATTTGATAACATTTTTGTCATATAAATTGACTTCTCTGATTTGATTTGTGAGAAAAAGAGATGCTAACATTGACCTTTGTTGGCGTTAGGACCTATCCTAATTATATGATCTACATTGAGTATTTCTCTAATAGATAATCCATTTCGGTTATAAGAAAGTTACAGTATGCTCATTAAAAAAAAGTAAGTAAGTCTGTCTGGTATTTTTTCAGTAATAGAAAGATCTAACAAAATCTTTTGATCCCCTGATATTAACATAGTTTCAGAAGGTTGCGCAAAGTAGGTTTTCTTCTTTGAAAAGAGCAATTACGGGATTCGTTTATAGAGGGAAATATTTTCCGCACAAAAGGCTGCACTTGAAGAGATAGTATGTTCATTAAAAATGCATATTTCTAAGTCTGTCTGGTATTTTTTTCAGTAATAGAAAGATATTTTATGTTATACAAAAATTTTTGATTCCCTGATATCAACATAGTTTCATAAGGTTGCGCAAAGTAGGTATTTCTTTGATAAGTGCAATTGCAGGATTCGTTAATAGAGGGAAATATTTTCCGCACAAAAGGCTGCACTTGCAGAGATAAATGGCGCACGTGGCAGAGCTACCCGCAACGATGCGTTGCGCAATCCAACAATTGTGGCGATTGACCCCCCCACCACCCACTCTTGATCCCGATTGGGCTAAAATGGTGTTGCACAAGTGATATCTGACAGATGCTTCGACCTTATTACAACGCTATAAGGTAGCTTACGTACCCAATCTTGTTTGCAAAGCCGATCAGGCAAAATCGAGCCCGGGAGTGGACGGGCTGATTCGTTTGCGTGCCATTCCCCGCCGGAGGTGCAACTTCCCAGAATAAGGCATTCGTCGAAATTGTAGCTCCATTTCTCAGAATCATATCGGTTATCATTTTATGTGTCGGTCTAGGTGCGATACATTGTTTATTTGTCGTGGTATTCTGTAAATTGGTTTTGGTCACAACAATTTGTCGAAACATTGAATTTATGAAAATTAAGTAGTTTTTTTTTTCAATTTATCTTGTAACTTAACAGTAGATTATCTTGTAACTTGGTTTAAGAAGTGTGATTTTCTACCCATGTGCGCACGTCTAATAGGTGAGCGCATACTGGCCACAGTAGATGAATCTACTACCTGAAGGTTGGCAGTATATTATCTCGGCAGTGCCTTAGTGGTAATATGCGCACACGCAGCTTGTAATTACTATTTTTTTTTATCTTTTACACATTACTCGTACATGATTCTTGCGACGACGATTGTCTTGACATTTAATTCTATCGAAAAAAGTTGCCCCTCCAATCTTCGCGAATCGAGATAAAATAGGAATCAATTTGTGAGTGATTAAAACAATATTTTGTTTGACACTGAGTATTTTATTACTTTTTTCTTATTAAAACGCAAAAACGATTTCTATGATTAAAATAATAAATTCTTGCGAGGACGAGTTCTATGTTGTGTAAAAATTTTCAAAAGTAGGTACTTACGTAATATAATATTTTATGTTATTGTTGCAAGTTATTTCTAAAGAAAGTTGCTTATCGTCCGGAGAAAAACTATCGAATTAGTTTAGTTTTTCCTCACAATTATTTTAAATACAGTCTACCATTGTGTGTACAACTGTATCTGTATGCTGAGCTTTCTGTAACAGATCGATATCCACGTCAATGTAGATTTATCCAACCATTTTGCCCTCGAGAATAAACAATAAAATCAAAGCTTTGACTAACATAATTTACATAATAAATGCGCGAGAGCGTCTTTGACACCGCTCGCGTCAACATAATTTGCACCGCGGCTGCAAGTAAACGGAGATTAATGAGATTTCGAAGTGCATCGCTTAGTTTGTTATAAACTTTGTAAGAAGACATAACACTGTTAATTGATTATTCTGTGGTAAAATCAGTCAAAGAACGTTTTGAGTATGAGTACTTACGAGTGTTAGTAAAAACAGCTCTGTTTTCATATTTTTGGATCCTTATATCGTTTTCACTCATAATGAGATACTAGCTCGAGCAACATTATAAGATAGACCGGAAAATATAAAAACACCGATTCGAATATAAGAACATAACTCTTAAAGACCTTAAAAGTAGTTCAAACACTGAGTTTGCTACTGCGGCAGGAACACTCGGGGTGTGCTGTGCACAGTACAGGGCAGTAACTCTCATTGACTCTTCAACGTGTGAATTTTTAGATCATAATTAATCCGATATTATCAGCAGTGGCGGCGTAGCATGGGTTGGCACCCGGGGCGATCCCCCCCGTCCCCCCCGTCATAAGGCCTATGGCACCCCCTGGTACCCCCCAGGATTTTGTGGTTACCTACTGATTCGAAGATTGGAAGACAATGGTCCCCCCCCCCCCTTCGTATCATGACATAGACCGCAGATTTTGCCATGCAGATGCGCCAGTGAGTACTAANATAGACCGCAGATTTTGCCATGCAGATGCGCCAGTGAGTACTAATCTGCGCGTCTTGTGTCACCCCCTAATGCTTGGCACCCGGGGCGGACCGCCCCCACCGCCCCCCCCTTACGCCGCTACTGATTATCAGCAAACAAACAATTGAACAAGTTTGCAAACAAAAGGTTCATTAGTTGTTGGAAGGAAAATGGTCAATGATGATAGGTACATGTTTTTAATATTCTACGCGCATTGTTAGCTTAGGTATCGCTTATGAGAGGTGAAGTAGTAGGAGGACAGTTGCTGTTGCAGATGAAAACGAAATGGAAAAATGTTAGTGTGATGAGTACGAGCATTTCGGATTGAGTACGTTTTTAGGATATATTTGTAACACAGTTATTTGCTCGTGGCATGTCATTATTAATTCATCGTATCGTTAATATTTACTGACAGGGTATAAAGTGAGCGAAGCCCGCGCGTTTCCGCTTTTATTTTCTGGTGTACTAATTGCGCCAGCCGTGAATTTCACGTATGGCTAACAAAATCATCTTTATCGTGAGATACTCGTATTTTCCCCTTATTTCAAAAGGACTTACGACCTTGCAAAAGTGAGTTTCATTCCTGCGCAGTGCGCACGCAGGATCTGCCCCACCCTGAATACGCCCATATTGTTTGATCAAAGCTTATTTAATCTACTATTAAATTGCAGATTATAGAAATTAATTCAGAATAAATAAATTCAAAATGCAACGCTGTACGGCAACGCCTTTGAAACTTTTAGTTAAACTAAAGTAATGCTACAGTCTCGTCGAAAATTGATCAAAAACATTACTTTCAGTCTATAAAGTTTGTTTACTGTTTAATTTGGGTCGTTTTTGGATGTTGTTTCCACTGTAATTGATATTTCGTTCTTATTACTAGTTGGCGTACAATATCGATAGTAGGTGTCGTTGATGTGAGAAAATATTCATATACGTTCATTACGTATTATAATAATTTTAATCCTACATATAACTATTTGAAATGAAATGTGGATTATTGTCAGATTTATTATTGTTTAATAAATCAAATCATATCAATTATTTCAACTCAAAATTGTGTCTATAAGTAAAAATTGTAACTAGAGAAATGATTCAAGTAAGAAGTTAAGGTTTTTCAGTCAATTAAATCTGGTAATGTGCAAGATTTGCAACCAAGTTTTTTCGTGTCACTAAAATGTGGCCATGAAAGAAACGGCTATCGAGTATTTACAGTGTGCTTCAGAATGCTGGCGTTCATATGACGCGAATCACGCGTTGAACTCTAATACAGGCAGATAAGGTTCAATTCACATTGGATTTCATTTAAGAGACTCGACCAAAATGATTTTATGCAATACGACTGTCTTACAGCCTGTGAATGGATTATTGTTTACATTTCAGAATTCTTTTAATTAGTGAATAGCTGGGAGTTTTCTGGGTGTTTTACCGCGCGCAGTCGTCTCTCGCATAGAAATAACGTAAGGAACACTGGGCTCTGCGGCGCGACAGCCAGTCGACAGCCGACTTTCTGCGGCAACGGTTCCCATAGCGACAATACCATTTTTTTTTGTTTCAGTAACAACTACACCAACTAGTTTATGAATACCGGAATTGAATTAAAAATACATATCCAGAAAAAACTAATGTTAAGTGTACCGATGCAACCTATAATAGAACAGTAGCTTTTTTAAACTTTACCCGTTACACTAGTTTGATGAAATGTGACTCATGCGTGTTGTCGCAAGTGAAGTGTTAAAAAGAAGAAAATGTGCTGTGAGCGAATTTTGTAAATATGGTAAAATACGCGTGTGTTATCGATGTCAGTGCGAATATTGACTGAAAATGCTAAGTCGTTGGAAGAGCAAAGACAAGGCGGAAAAGTCCGGCAAGTCCTCCAATTCTAGCAGTAAAAAGAAAAGAAAAGGCAGAGAAAATGGTTAGTAGTATAAATAAACTGTAGTAACTGTTATTTTAATCGTGCACGTTGTCAAATTAATATGTTATGAAACTGTCCGGAATGGCTTAAATATATGACATTTGACTCTAGGTGCACATACGCAAGTCTGGAGTTTCGCAAACAAATCCCGTAGCTGTTTCACGCTTTTACTGCATACGCCGCATGAATATCGCCGTAAATACTAGCTGACACATTAATGCAGTAACACGTTAAATTTCCCTCCTGGTAGTCCTGGTTAACGCCTGTAACATACTGAATGTTGAAAATTATTTTGCCTCCTGCAAGTTCTATACGTATTAATTCTATGCATGCTTTTTGTATTCCACCTAAATGTCACATGTAAAGCTGATCATATTATTATAGGGATAATTTTGTATATTTTTATGAACACAAAAACATGTTTTGTTCTGGTAAACCGGTTCCAGGGAGCCGCGGCGTGATGTCATTCTGATACAATGACATTGGCGTGTCTATAAACCTCTTTACGGAAAACGAACGTTACTGGGCGGGCGGCGGGTGGCTAATCTAGAGTGCCTACTAGGGCGTATACAGGGTGAATTATTCAACTGTCATTTCGGGATCGCTTCTGATAAACGAAGAAAATTGCGCAAAACTATTTTCAATAAGATAAATTCATGTAAATAAGATAAAACTTGTAAAGTGTAATTCAATAGGCCCTATTGAATAGGGAATTGAAAAATAAGATAATTTTAGTTACTTTAGGTGGTAAGTCAATGAACGAAATCACACAAAGATACTCGCAGTCTTGAATTCACGATGTGTGGTATTCATTTGTGTAAGTAGAATCTAATAAATAAAAAACAACTAGGTACCTACACAAAATGAACGAATGGACTTTTATTTTTTTCGAAACGTATTGAATCATGATCGTACAGTGATTGTAGATGTTTAAAATTCCGCTGGCATGTTAAATGTTCGGGTCAGAATTCAGTTGCACATGCATGCTTTTCACATAACCAGTAGGTATACTGTGTGGTATTGGCGTGTTATCTCATTTAAATATTCACCAGTTCATACACGATCGTTTATTAAGTAAAAATGAGTTGCATACTTTTTTTTACTTGAAAATATTTCAGGCACTCTATGAATAGATACGAAGCACGAAATATCATTATTTTTTTTAAACCCGCAAAATGGCACCCTTCACAACTACCTAGGATACATCAGTGTTTACCTTGATTTCTGTCGGCTCTACATCGCACGAAATGTCGTGAGCTTTGGCCATTAGGCCTAAGCTTTATTTCGTTACGCCCCCTCTTTCTGCTCGGGCTGCTCTGCTATCCTAGGTCGACGTTAATGGCCATAATAAATAAATATAGCGACGACATCTGCTTAGTAAAAAATAAGGGGCGTTGGTGTACTGTAAGAGTACTTGAAGCATGCATAGGGTAAGGTGGTGCAAGAGTACGCACTTTTTAAATAATACGTAATATCATAGTTATTAAAATGAACTTTATTAAACTGAAATTTTTATGCATCTCTTAAAAATCAACAGAATAACAACATAACGTTACTTTTGGCATAATTGGCGTTTCATAAAAACAGGAAAATATATGTTATTAGCGCATAAGTCACACTGGTATAGTGCTCCATCCATATATGCAGTACTTTTTTCGTGCCACCATTCCTTACACTACTCCGAGCACTCGATCCAGTCCTCTACAATGGGCTCTTTGTATAATTCCTGACATCCGCCACATCTCCACCTCTTACGTTTTGCTTTTAAACTCTTTTGTCTTCTTAGTCTTTTCATTCCTTTTTAATGTTTTCCGATATACGGTCTCAAAGCTAATTCATAATTGGATTTTGAACTTTAAGCTCTTGATATAGGGTACAAAATCAGTTGAGATTTTCTGGTAGATTGGTGTGCTGACGACAATACAATAAATACGACTAGATTTTCTAAATTTTTGTGATTTTTCGTTTCGTAGAAGTCTTTTCGTTGTTTGTTCTGTACCTCTAGTACGAAAAACTTTCGAGTTCGTTTCGTTGCGTATTCAAAGTGTCATCGAAAAATTTTGTATGAAAAATTAAACAGCGCCCCCTAGGGCGGCTATAATATAGGGTGCGCTGTTTAATTTTTCATACAAAATTTTTCGATGACACTTTGAATACGCAACGAAACGAACTCGAAAGTTTTTCCTACTAGAGGTACTGATGAAAAATCTAAAACAAGACGTAACTTCACTTCACCAAAACTAAGATAACCATCATTTTGGGCAATGACTTAAAAATATTAACTAGTGTTTATAGATAAACTTTTTATTACTAATATTTTTAGATTAATTATTTAATAAAATAATGAGGTTTGTGTATCAACGAAAAGAAGTAATTCACACTATAATTATTTTTTTTTCACTTAAAACATTTTTGATATCATATTAACCCTAGTATTGTACCCATAAGGACGCAAATCGAAAGATTGTAGCCTGGAGCAGCCGCATGCAACTATTGCAACGTCTACACCACCACGTGAGTGGCGGCAGACTAACGCAATACTGTTGTACCCTCTCCCGTCATCTTTCAGAAACGTGGAGCCGCAAAATAAAAGTATATTTCCACATCGCCATGTGGCATGTTTCGCACGCACAAGGCATGCCACTCAACAATGTGAATATAACCTAATATAATTATTTGTATTATAATTATTAATCAACTATTTTATTCTATTTCTTTTTTGTGCTAGTGCGGGTCTAGTATTATGGCTCGAATGGTCTTTAACACCTGTTGAGGACAGAGGGATCAGAGGTTTGGCCGTGCAAAAGAGTGAAATATATCAGAAAATATCCAAGTAAACTTCGCGTTTATTTCGTAACGTTGTTTACACAAGACAGCAGTCAAAAACAGAATTCAAAAAATAAAATATAAAAAACATTTATTTGTGTTTCATCCTAAGCCTCGCGAGATTTACTAATATAAGATAAAAACATTAAATTGCACGGAAGTAGCTTTTCTTATAATACGGCAAAAAATAATGTTGTTTGCGTAAAAGAAAAAATACTCAGTGTTAGTCTCAGTATATCAAACAAACAACATGTTATGAATGATTTTTTCCTGTGAAACATTCCCGAAAAACATTCCCTATTTTAAAGGTATTATTTGTTTATCTCAATCAGAATTTCACGTATATTTGCCAATGCTGATTTTTCTCCGAAACTGGACAGCTTCAATTCAATTAGGCCCGTGTCGTATTTTGTTTATCCAATACTTTGTATTTCACGCTCTTTATCTTTTGATGCCATGTCATTTAATGAATAGGTAATCCCACGAATGCAAAATGGTTAATTGCATTCGTAATTACGTGAATTGCTTTTTGAACGCAATGAAATTAATTTCCTTTCAGTTTGATTACATTCAATTCCTTTCTGGTTTTCTACTCGGCATGATGAAGAATTTATTGAAAATACGATAGGTGAGTCTTTCAATAACAGAGAATACAAAATTAATTGACCACTACTTACGGGTTTCACTTAGGAGGTTATAGCTAAGGTGTGGAAAAAAAATTGTTGAAGTGTTCTATACTACATGCCTTGATTTCTGCATTTTCGAATTGTGATGCGAAGTCATCTGTAATTAATTTCCGATATACCTTTTATAAAGCGTACTATTTTGCCGAAATATTTTTATCGCAGGTTTTTAATTAATTACTATTAAATAGATAAAGTTATAATATTATACATAGAAATAAACTACTCGTACCTACATGGACTAAATATTTACAAATAAAAAATATGTCCCAAATCGTTGTCCAAGCAACGCGACATGGTGCCCAGAATGCTGGCTGCATTTCCGCGCTGAATGACCAAACTGATTCTTTGACCAAGAACCGCAGCCGCTTGGCTAATACCCTGTACAGCTGTCCCTGTGAGCACTTGGTCCCCACGGCTCTAGCGTCTTGACCCCAAATGGCTCAAACATGTAGGTACTACTAAGAGCTACATATTTGCGCCGCTTGAGGGATTCCGCTGATGCAGCAGCAGTACCAGCCCCAGACGAGGTTTGTGGAAGATGAGACGGTGCCAGTGTGTTTACGCAGGTGGCATCCCACACTAGTGGCCGTCCCATCTTCCATGGAACCAAAGTTAAACCATCAGGTCTCTTACCATCACTCCGAACCAGGCCATTTGGTTTAAGAATGGCCGGTACGGAAGCGCTAGCAAGAGACCTGCGTATGATGACAATAAGGCTGGCGTGACGGGAAAATCTCTCGGCACTTCTGCTGCATAACAGTCCGTGATGACCAAGGGAGTCAACCATGTCACCGCAGGGACAGCGATGAGGGACAATACATGGTGCCCCCAAATGAAGCGAAACTGCTAAGTTAAAAGTGGTATTTTCTAAAAGCGTGCCAATATGAGTAGAAGGTAGGGAGTGAAGCCAAAGACCTGATTCCCACTCGGCTACAGCCAGAAGACGAGCTCGATCTGCAGAACTGGTAGACGTGTTTAATAAGTTATTCCGTACAAGTCTGCAGATCGGCTCGTCCCACTGCCTTTGTGAGATGAGAGACAACGGCAAATTTTCAGAGCTTAACTGCCTCCAAGCGCTAAATGCCTTCGGCTAGGTGGATGGTAGTTGAGTCAGAACACTTACTCAGTATTTTTGAAACCAATCCACTGGTGCTATGAGCCGAAGACAAAAAAGCCGGTAGAGCGACACTGGAAATTTTGCGATTACCCAAACCTCCAAACCTAATAGGTAGAGAAGCTTGGGTCCATGATCGATCATCTAAAGGAATATTTAAAACGGAGGAAATGATTTGTTTTATAGTCATCTAATTTGGCTGTTAAGCAAGGGTATTTCCAAAAATGTGAAGAACGAATGCAATATGTGAATTTAGGGACAAAAAGACAAAACAGGATATACCTAGTACCCATGGAAATCCATGGAACACAATTTCTGACTTCGGGACTTTATTTAGACTAGTTAGGAGGTGAACATAGCAAAAGTCCCCGCCC